CATAGGCGTCTTTGCAAATTACACGTACAAGCACATAAGTCAACGTTTATGAACAAATAAATTAATGCCTATTCAGTATTCACACGCATAACTGCATAAGTATCTTATGAAGACTAGATCTCAATCTTGAATAGAGCTTTAAGGTGTTGTTCGGGACTCGTTTAATTAGGTAGCCATGGACTCGGATCCGGGTCGGGCCTAGGCTCGGCCGGCCTTTTGATTTTTGGTAGAAGGCCTGGGACCGGCCTGGGTTACCACCGGGTCCGGGTCGGTTCCATGATTTTTTTCCTTTTCTTATTAACCCCGACCCCCCTACCCCCACCCCCAAACACCCCCAAAATACCCACCCCAACTCAAGAAAAAGTCTAAAACAATGAAAAAATCCGGGAAAAAAAGGTCCGAACCGGGTCTGGGACCGCCCGGGCCGGTTCTAAAGAATGGGGTGATCCGGGACCGCCCCACCCTAACCCTCGGGACCGGGCCTAGGCCCGGAACCAAAATCGGTACATCGGGCCGGGCCCGCACAGTAGCGGGCCGGGGCCGGTTCCCGGGTCAGGCGGCCCGAACCGGGTCCAACACTAAATTAGGGAGGGAGGGTTCTCTTATTTTTATTCTGGGTTGGGCATCTTTCACTTTTATTTTTGTTTTTGTTTTTGTTGCATTTACTTCTTTACCTTTTGTACTTTTATTTGTTTCTTCAATAAAATTTACTTTTACTGGAAAATAAAGTATCTGACTGTACGAGTATTAAGATCAAATAATTTCGGAGACAGTGATTACCAGAATACCAGGCGGGTAATACAACCCAGCCGACCTCGATGCGTACAAATTGTGTAAGGGTTTGTTTGGATGGAGTGTTTGGAAGTGTTAGTAATGGAAGTGTTAGTAAGTGTTAATAAGGGACCGGAAGGGAAGGGAAGTGTAAGTGTTAGACATAATTTTATCTTGTTTGGGAGAGTCAAAAGAATGAAGTGTTAATAGTGGAAGTGTTAATAATTTTACCTTGAGGCAAAAAAAACGAGTAAGAAGAAAAGATGAAAAAGACATATCACCATACTTGCGGTAAAGAGATTCGAAGTGAGACGCGAAGCATTTTATGTTTTTAGATTAAATGAGAAGGGTAACTGATGTGTGTTTTCTCGCACTTAAAAATGGTTGTAGAAAAGTGGTTGAAAGTACGAGTATCGTCTCCACAGGGACGAACAAAAGAGAAATAAAGATTAACTAAACTTTAGCGATTAAAAAGAAATAAATAAAATAAACGTGCAATTGTGCGAGATTGGTTGATTGATTAAACTAAAACTAATGCTAATGAGCGAGTAAAAAGATTTGGTTTTCCTTAATTAACGACAAAGGGAACAGGAATTGATTCCGGGGTTAACCAGATTTCTGGCAGAACAGGCCTAATCACATGAATTTAATTTAATTGAGCCTAGCTAATCATTACTAAGTTCTTACCGCTCTCGCGACGAAGAGTACAATAATTTAGGGGTCTAGACTGATCTCTCATGCGACAAGATCCTAAATTATTGCCAAAACGAGCGAGCTTACGGCCCCTTAATCGCTACTAATCTCTTAGCGAACGATTAAGTGTGTGTGAACGTGTCCTAGAACAAATTAGATCTCTCTTAATTCATTCTACATGCAATTGTAATTCTAGCTGCAGTCTAGGTTACAAGAGATACCAGTTAAATTATTCAAACACAAATTAAACGGCATTCATACAATTAAACCGACAAGAATCTAGCCATCAATCATGATTAACCCCTTCTTCAACCCCAAATCCCTAATTAAACTACTCACGCCTCATAATTGACGAATCAAAAGAATTGGGATGAATAGAATAAATTGTCATTAATTAAAGAATTGAACTTACAAATAATCCCAGGGTCTTGGAAGAAAATAGCGTAAAAACGGTGTTAAATTCGTCCATAGGCAGGGGCGGACCGTAGTACAGACCCAGGGGTGCGGTCGCCCCCCCAACAACGGAAATTTTTAGTGTATATATATAATAAAAAATAATTTTCGCCCTCCCAAAAAATACTTTGTTTAAGTTACCGCCCTCCCAAGATAAATTTCCTGGGTCCGCCCCTATCCATAGGCCTCTCCGTAATGTTCGTAACCCCCAAGAATGGGTATGGAGGCCTTATTTTTATAGAAAACAGGAGAAGTTGAGCTGAAATGGGACAAAACGGGGCCAGACACGATGCCAGGCACGATCGTGTCTGGGATCGTGCCTACGGAGTACATCGCGCGTTAAGATCGCAGACACGATTGTGCCTGCACCGGACACGATCGTGTCTGGCTGCCAGTAGCTCCGCGCCTCCGTCTTCTCCAGGGACGGTCGTGCCTGGCCTAGGCACGGTCGTGCCTGGTCTTTTCTTCATCATTTTTCTTCGTTTCTTGTTCTGAATGCTCCCGAATGCCTACGAGGTCGATCCAAATGCTCTTTCTTCACCAGAATTTCGTCGTGAATCTCCCGGTGGCCTCCAAATCTTCCAAATCTTTCTCGAATGCCTTCAAATCCTTCCCGAATGCCTCTCAAGCGCCGATTGCCGGACTCTAACTTCTTCAAATCAACTTCAAATGTAATGAAACTCGATCCAACGCCTACTAAACACAACTTGAGCCAAAATTGAGACTTGCAACGCCTTAAAGCCAGGAAAATCATCAAAATCCGACTCGAACACGCATCAAATGCGTGTCTAAATACGGACTTATCAGTAACAATGGTCCAACACCTCAAAGCACTCCAAATCGAAGTGTTAAAAAAGTGGACAATTGAGGTGTTGGGAAGGTTATTATTAACGCTTCCTAATTAACCTTTACTAACACTTCTTAACACCTCTTAATTTTTCTCCCTAATAAGTGTTAGTATCAACACTTACTAACACTTCCATTACTAACACTCTTCAACACTCAATCCAAACAGGCCGTAAGTCGGTGTATAAATGCCTTCTCATCCGTTTTATATGATTGTTTATGTACTGATTACACCAATTTTCTTAAATGGATAAAATACACTATTTTGTGTATATCTGTTCATTTTGTTAGGCTATCAAAAGATGGTAATGGAGATAAGTTATGTGTATTGTAGAATATTATAGAGCTAGACATGTATAATTATTGAAACAATGGCCAATGGGATTGGTTGACTGGGGTTAGGGGACTTGAGAGGTAATGAGGGGATTAAGTTCCCGTTTACCAGGCATATATCAATATGAGATAATTATCCTAGTTATGATTAAAACACCACGACTTTCTCAATATATGATCTAATGAGTTTTTTTCCACAAAATAAAATTAAAATTCTTCATATTTACTTAAAATATTAATAAATAATTAAATAAATAATTTTTATTGACCAATACGTCCTTTTGTTATTATTATAAAACATTCTTTGTATCCAACCTAATGCTAGCCTACCCGTCGCCCACCTACGTCCCACCTGAGTACCAATTCTTTTTCCCCACCCCTACTTGTATTGAGAGTAATTTTTTTCAATTTTAAATCATTAATTGGTTTGATGTTGGCAAGATATTTGTTCAAAACGTTTTTGTGAACACGGTATTTGTTGAAAACTTAAAAGTTAAAACACGTAGTACCTAGATTTTTCTTCTTCCACTTTTTGAATATCTTGAATTTAGGGTTTTTAGACATGGACAAGGCACATGGGCAGTACATATGTGCAGTTAAAATGGATAGTGAATATACTTATATAGTTATATATAGTTATTAACATTAATAGATAGTGTTGTACATGAATAGTGAATGAATGCATTGAAAAAGTGTCTTGTACATTTAATCGAAGACAATAAATCAATAACGACGACAGAGAGGTAATATATCTAACTAGACTTAAAATACTAATTTAAAGTTATTACATTTAAACTGTTGAGTATGACAGTGAATATGACAATATATATGTTGTACATGGCAGTGAATGAATGCATTAAGGAAGTTTATTGGGCATTGATTATGACCGTAGTGCAATAACACAAAGCAGTAATTTCACCATGAAAAGCAATATACATAATCAGATGTGAAATGATGAAATTATTAAATCTAAAAAAACTATAATTAATTTCATAGAGTGAATGAGAAGAGAATATATTTTGGCGGAAGTGCAGTGATTATTACCAGGTGTGAAGTAATGTCGTGCAGTAACGACAATATAAAGTGCAGTAATTCTAATTGGACGAATTACTTCAAAATGCACATACTTTAAATAAGAGTATTTTTGTCACTCAACATGTAAATATAAACGAATTTTTTTTTTTTGAATCTTTGGTCCTACAATAGTAAAAAAACTAGTTAGGTTATAGATTGGGAAACATACACATTGAGTTTTAGTCATATTCTAGAAAATTTTCCATATCTATATATGTTGCTTTTACACAAAATGTAACTTCATGATTTTTTACCTGATGTGTATCTTCTTCTTTTTCCAAAAAAAAAAAAAAACCACATGTTTAATTTTTTTTGAAAGGCAAAATCAAATGTTTATATTCATTTTATTTTCAACAATTTATATAATGATTTCATCAGTACTTAATCCTCAACGGTTTATATAGTTTTTTGTTAAAACATTTGTCCCATACCGGAAAGCTATAAAACAATTAAACACTATATGCTTTGGGCTACTCCTCCTATCAGGTTGACCTTTTAGGATGAAACTCCGGGTCTTAATATTTTTTTCTTCAATTTATTTCCAAGCATCTACATAAGGATAACTCACCCCTTCCTTACCTACCTCCAAAATTCCTAACGCAAACTGTTGGGATAATGGGCCGGGTCAAAGACTATTGGCCTGTTACGCCCAAGCTTTGGCCCGACCAAGCTCAGAACACAGTCCGGCTAGCAAATATTGGTCCGGGATTATTTAATTACTTATCGGGCTGGCTGGCCCATGAGCGTCAGTCTTAGTTGATAAATCGGGCCAAGCCCATGTAACACTTAATTGGTGGGCTATTGTGTATGCGTATAAATAGACCACCAACCTTTTGTATTCAGAAAAAAGCTATTCTCACTATACTGAAATGCTGCCAAATTCTCTACCCGGGTTATTTTCTACCAACATTGGTGCTTTCATTGAGAGCTGTGCTCTCAAATTTTCGGTAGAAACTTGGGAAGATTCAAACAGCAATCGTGTGAATTTGTTCCAAGAATTACGAATTCATCACAATTACAGCTTCAAAAATGGGAGACAAATCTTCTGAAAAAGTGGAAATCCAGGAAAAAAAAAGAATTTCGAATCTGGAAAAATGAATTAAAAAGAAAATCTCAGATCCGGGAAGGTAGAAGAATCTCATCCTTCTCGGGCTTCTTCGGCCACATCGCTAAATAGTAGGCAACTCCACCTCCGTCACAGAGCAGTGCTCACAGGCGAGGCTCGAAGCTCGTCCCTGCGGATCTGAGTCGCGTGAGAGGACCATCCTGGCCGTCGCCGCCCCAGGTCTTAATGCGCACCGCCAATCCAGCGCCGCCCTCGTTCCTGGTCGCTTCGCCGCTGCCGCGATTGCTCCAAGACGAACTGCCGTGGTTATCCACCATTAATGGCCAATTTAGGTCCGGCGAAGCAGATTCAAGGCCACCATACACAACCCAAGGTGCCGCAGTCATTATACAACTCGAGGGGCCGGCATCTCATGACCTCCTGGGAAATGGCGAAGCAGAGCACTGCCTCCGCTTATCAATGACCGGAACCAGGACGCCACGAACGGCGTCAGATCCGCCAAAGCCTCAGCCAGGGATGGACGGATTCTAAACTCTATCTAATATGTATTGCAGAGAGGAGGCGTGAATATGCAGATTGGAGGAATTTGACCCAGTCAAATTGGTCTACGAAGTCCTAATCTGACCTCCCAATTCTTTGATCCTTTTCATTTTGGTTTTTAATTTTTGATAGGTGGAACATGCCAGATCTAGACAGGTGCAATGCCACTTATTTACGTTATGCCGGTACTGTCCCAACGGAGCACTAAAAAATGGTGCGTCATTGTACGTTGTACATCCATTCGACCAGAGCATGAACAATTGAAGAGGAAGATACCACAAAAGCTTGTACGTGGACTGATTATCAGTAGCCGGGGAGGTTGATCAGCGGAACCCTAGGACGCTAATGCAACCTCCTCGGTGTCGAGACAGCCCGGAAACTTGGTGGCACGGGCTCAACCCGGCGACGTGAACCTCCGATCTCCATCGAGAGGCCCGTCTCTGCCGGGAGGTCCGGATGCACAACCTTGTCCTGGAGCGCCAGCCCGGGGTCGATACGCTCGTACACCGAAACTTGGTGGCACGGGCTCAACCTGGTGACGTGAACCTCCGATCTCCATCGAGAGGCCCGTCTCTGCCGGGAGGTCTGGATGCACAACCTTGTTCAGGAGCGCAAGCCTGGGGTCGGTACGCCCGGACTCCTGTACGCCCGAACTCGCGTACGCCCGGACTCCTGTACGCCCGAACTTGCGTACGCCCGAACTCCTGTATGCCCGGACTCCTATACGCCCGTACACCCAGAATCTCGTACGCCCGGACTCCCGTACGCCCGTACCTTCGTACGCCCTGCACATCACTAGTGCACCAGGTCAAAGATAGTTGAGCTGCGATTCAATCCATTCTGACCAAGCATTACATTTAGACTGAAGATACTCACTGGCGCCGACAAGTCACAATCACGTAACATCGAGTGAGGGTTGTGCACGTTGTAGCTGTCACTGTGTACGCCCGTATGCTCTGCGCTCGTGCGCCCCTACACGCCAAAAATAGTCCAAGCGACAATTGGCGGGTCGGGTATCATCCACGCGAGCCCCACCTGGCGAGGTGGACGTAGTGTCATGGCTAAGAGGTTTGGTTGCACGAGCCTGCCATGGCGAGATGGACACACGGTCGTCACCAGGACGCATTGTCGCACAGGCCCAACCCGGTGACGTGAGCATTCGGTCACCACCAAGAGGTTTGGTCGTACGAGCCTGATCCGACGAGATGAAAAGAAAAAGTACATGCATGAAGACCCGGAAGCACCATTATCCAAGTCATCCTCGAGAGACCGGACAAAAAACCAAGTTCGGTGCATGGCTCCTGATTGATCTTACATGTTGAAGACTTCGACGGACAAGCTTGAAGATCAAGTACGGAGTGCAGGGCACCTTGTCAAATCCTATGAGCGGAGCATAGCAAGATTGTGGATCAAGTACGGAGTGCAGAACTTGGAGCAACTCCTTAAGTGCTCAAATTCTTTCATTACATAAAAAAATCAATCTAGAATTTAATGAGGTCCGACCTCACTTGGAAATGAACGGGCGGCGGCCAAAAAAAAAAAACTATGACACCCCGCTCTCGGTGTTTAGACGACCACGGCTCGAACTTCAGAAAACACAATGATCAAACTATTTTCTAAGTCTTGGATTAGCTGCTCGGTCAGGGCGACCGTAAGACCGGCCCCCGGGTCGAAAAGGTATGCGAGAGGTCGTGCTCCGAGCCCCTCTCGTACATCCATTGTCCGACGTTGCTGTCTAAACAGCCCGCATACTCGTTGGACCTAATCAGCGGTGTGGCGACTATATGACCGGTTTTTAGGCCGAAGGTATGCGAGAGGTCGTGCTCCGAGCCCCTCTCGCACATCCGTTGTTTGACGTTGCTAGGCTTAACATCCCGCACACTCGTTTGACAGGGTCAGCGGTGCGGGTCCGTTCTGGTCTGATCATGCAGGGCCTTGCCCTTACGTTTGGCTGACTTCAGTTTAACTTCCAGAAAGGGATAGCTAGATTTTTCCTAAGCATGAAGCTAGCTGTACAAGTCAAGGTGTAAGACCGGCCTCCGGGTCGAAGGTATGCGAGAGGTCGTGCCCCGAGCCCCTCTCGTACATCCGTTGTTTGACCGTTGGCCGAACAGCTTACACACTCATCGGTCCTAGATCGATAGTGTGTGGGTCAGCCCCACCTTACCAAGAAGGGTGAGGTCAAGGTCGGCCCTGCCAACCTTCCGCCCCTCACGGCCTAGGTGGGGAGCCAGATCCCCGATTAGTTCTCCAAGTATTCTTGAATGAAAAACGGCTAAGTAAATTGAAAGAACAAATGATGCATACATGCAAGCTCAAACGAAAAATCAATCACAGAGAACAACTCCAAGATCATCATTGCCCAATTTTCTTCACCTCATCACAGATAGTCTGCATATCATGCCAGCCAATTGCAACCCTCCTTGTTCCGCAGCTAAGCTCGGATATACTTCGGACACCGGTCTCCAATCCTTGAAGTGACGAGCTTCGAAAACTGTAAGGGGCTTTGAACAAAGCAACTGCCTCATCTCCTACATCCCTGTACCTCTCGCATTCCAGGTGAGACGTCCTCGCATCACGGCAGACCCCTCGGTCTCAACGTGATCATTTATCTAAAGACCGGCCTCATTCTCTCACTTCATGGATGAGGACCGTTGCGTGGATTTCTTGACCGGCCCCTCAGTTCCGATGTCCTGGCATCACGGCAGACCTCTCGGTCTCAACGTGATCATTTATTTGATGACACGGCAGACCGTTCTGTCTCAACGTGATCGCGACCGGCCCCCTGCTCGGCGTGATGATCTATCTCAACAACGGCTTCCCAGCGCCGAGTGTCTTGAGTTAGCGATCGGGCTCGCCATCCCTTCCTGGATGGTGACGGTCGCCTCTATATGACGATCAGCTCAGCATTGCCTCGTCATCATATTTCAGACATGCGTCCAACGCCTCGTACTCATATTCAGATAGGCATCCAACGCCTTGTTCTCATGTTCAGATCTAGCGGACATCTCGCAGTCTCTGGCCGAATAGTCAAAGGAGCCCAAAGTTCATCTACGGGCCCATCGGCCATATATCGCTCCGTCATCTTTATTTTATGACGTGGAGCTCATATTGGCCCATCAGCCTTATATTCTGGTCATCTTTATTTGATGAACCGGACATCATATTATGGACGATCGCTCGACTCATTCCTTAGTCATCTTTATTTGATGACTAGGACTACTGATCATGATGAGCTACCCGCATCCCAAGACCGATCTTTGCCATCCCCTCAGCAGATGGCGATCATTGCAGCTGCATGCAGTGGCAGGAAAGCTCACCCATTTGTTTGGTTTTGAATAACACCTCGGGCTGTTAATTGGACAAACAAGACCCTGGGCTGCTAATCGGAAGAACAAGACCCTGGGCTGCTAATCGGACAAACAAGACCCCAGGCTGCTACCCAGACAGAGGAAACCCTATCCTTTTGCAAGCAATGAGGATCAATGTGGACAGTATTGCACCCGACCTTTCCAGATCATAGCTCGGTTGTCCATCGTCAGAGGATAGCTGGGTGGCCAACATCTCCCGAGCATACCCAGTCCTCCAACATCGGCGGACATCTATGTGACTAGCCTCTCCCAAGCATACCTCGGATCTCCATCCTCAGCATACAACTGCGACCAGCCTTCTCCAAGCATACCTCGTCTCGGCATCATTAATAAACAATTATGCAGGTGGCCTCTCCCAATCATACCTCGGCTTGACCGACACCACTGGCAAACAACCGCGCGACTGATCTTTTTGGAACATATCTCGACTTACCAGCAAAGCAGGCACACAATTAAGAACCGAAGGGATTGACATTCCTTTGCTTTATTTTAAGGTTCCGGTGTACTCTTTTCCCTTCACTGGAATTTTTTCCCATTGAGTTTTTACTAGTAAGGTTTTAACGAGGCACCCCCTTATCATGAACAAAGGAACAGGTCTCCCGGTCGGAGCAAAGAAGAGTCCATCCTTTCACAAGCAATTGGATCAAATTCAAAGCTCGGTAATGACCGGCCGACCGGACCAAAAACCGGACCAATTCCAAAACAGCTTAACTACTCCCTTTTAGCCGAGTCTACTACTCGACTAAGGGAGTGGGGGACTCGTGTTGGGATAATGGGCCGGGTCCAAGACTATTGGCCTGTTACGCCCAAGCTTTGGCCCGACCAAGCTCAGAACACAGTCCGGCTAGCAAATATTGGTCCGGGATTATTTAATTACTTATCGGGCTGGCTGGCCCATGAGCGTCAGTCTTAGTTGATAAATCGGGCCAAGCCCATGTAACACTTAATTGGTGGGCTATTATGTATGCCTATAAATAGACCACCAACCCTTTGTATTCAGAAAAAAGCTATTCTCACTATACTGAAATGCTGCCAAATTCTCTACCCGGGTTATTTTCTACCAACACAAACAATCGGCATTGCGAACCCCCAATTTTCTGTCATTTCAATGTCAACACTGAGTATGTTTCCATTACTTAAAGTTTTTATATACCACCAAAACATAGTTCAAGATGGGCATGTTTGGCAATTAGCGGTTGGCGGTTAGTGGTTAGCGGATAATGTTAGCGAATTGTAAATAGCGGATTGAATTAGCGGATTTGACCGGCAGATTGATTTGACGGGTTGTAGAAATATGTTTGGTTGCTTAGCTGTTTGCATGCTTAGAATATGCTCTTTGTTGTTTAATACCACGTATAATTTTAGAACTCATGCATGTATGCCTGATCTTTTCGCTTATCATGATTCTATATTGATTTTTAATATACAAAATCAACTATGGAGTACAAAAAGTAATCACACATATATGGCATACTATGACCGGGACTTGCAATCTAGAGGTTATACGCATGATAGCCACATGCGCACATCACACTATTTATATGACACATGGCACCTACATACTCCGTATGATTTATGCTTCGTATGTGTTTTGAGTTTTGATGGAGGAGAATGAATGATCATGCTTATGTGGTGGTTTCTTATATATTTTCATATATTCTCCTGATAAGTAATTAATTAATAGGAGGGGAGGGATCACGTTTAAATTACAGATAAATAGCAAATATGCGTACCTTCAAAACAATTTGGAGTTGCGATGTTATGCTTTGGAGCTCTGCAGCGGCGAACGAATATGAATTATGAAAGGGTAACTTT